GAAAATCCCAAAAGATGAATTCATGAATCAGAAAAATTCGTTCAATAACTACAACGGGCAATGATGCGTCAACACTGTCTCAATTATTAAAAATTGTAAATGTAACATGATGGTGAAATTCAATTCAGTCAAATTGCAGTGTCAAAATTTAATATTGAGCACAGAAAAATTAGCATAAAGACAAACTGTCAAGGTTTGAAATGACTTTTCACTCAATGTCCTCATTTTATTTGCTTGTCTGATATTTGTGCAAAAACCACTGCTGAACAAGCAAATAAAATATGGCAAAAAAGGACTTCCACATCAGAGGCAAAGTTGAACTGCAAAAATCCTTAGAAAGGTACACAGCTTATATGGTGTCCGGAATGGTTTCCTCCTAGCTTATTTTCCATTGTGGTCAGTAGAGGGATTAAGCTGGTTGGACCGTTCGAGAAGAAAAGGGATTTGGGCACAGGCCTCAGGAAACTGGCGCCAGGCGCCATGGGCTAATACCCCAAAAATTGTGCAGAAAGTAAAAGGTTATTTTTGAAAGGGGTACCATAACTTTCCTCCAAGTCTCAGGTATACTGTATAAGGAATACTAAATACCCTTTCTTCAGAAGTATCCAAGTTGCCCAGTGTCCTGTTCAACAGTTGCTTCTTTTTTTTTTCCACTGCTGGCAATTGAATTTGCTTTGATTTGTACTTCACTATTTTTTTGTTTTGTTTTACAACAAGATTCACATGCATTAGCTCTGTATCAAAGATGGACTATGGTCCAGCACTTTTTTGTCTTCCAAGGCAACTGAATCAAACTGAATTACATTACAAAAGTTCTCGGTTTCCTGGTTTTATATATAAATATACGAGTATATGCCAAAATGATGATGCCAAAACAAAGTTCACCAATTCTTTGAATGCTGCCTACATGACTTCAACTTATGAGGAATAGTGCATGGTTATTTATCTGAAAACCGTGAGAAAATATCTTTGGCACACATCTGCTTTGATTGGTGTAAAAAAATTGCCTTGACCTTGCCCAGGTTCCAACATTTGATGAATATAATTTGGATGAACTCTTGATGACGAGGAAAATTAGAACATTTCCATATTCTACTTGTGAACCTTCTGTATATGCCTTTTGTATTGAACTTTGGACTTCGGTTTGTATTGTACATGAAAAATACTTGAATTATTGGTGTTCCTTTTGTATATTTTTAATGTTTTGTACTTGTAATAAATGGCATGGAATTGAGAGTGGATGATGAAAAAATTATTACAGTCGAGGGGGCGGGGGGCTGTAGAAACATGCTATACAAAAATGTTGAGGAGTACATTATAAAAGAAGTAAATGAGAGGTCCCAAAAACACAGCATGATTACCAATGCACCTGGCGATTAGAGAATGAACCGAGCAAAAACGGACCCCCTCCCAGCCTCCTGGCAGAGGACCAGACAGTTTAATCCTTTGGGGTTGAACAATGTGGGATAATATGGGAGGACACCAACCATTCATAGGGGTGTACGGAAGATCAACCAGGAGAAAACGACGCAAGAGGTTTAAGCTGGCTTAAGCTGTCCGGGAATGTTGACCACCACAATGGGGGCCAGCCACCGGCAGAGTTACCAAACTTCTTTTTTCCTGCTGATTTTTAAATACATATTATTGGTGAACTTCTGTTGCACTCCCAGCAAGGGGTTTGTAACGGGGGATTTTTCCATTTTTGGGACCATCAAATCAAGTGCCCAGAAAAATTGCCCCAGTGGTTTTCACCAGACGACCCCCAACATTTCCTCCACAGAAGTGGAACATTCATCAGGCTGTGCTCAATGATCTTGGCGCAACTAACAATTTCAGTGAAGCTTGGAATTGCTATTTCAATGGCCTGGTTGGAAAGAAAAATCCCACCATTTTGGTTACTCATTTGCTGCCTGAAACAAGACGCTGCATCAGTTGCTACAACGCTGAAGAAATTTGACAAAGATGGTGTCATTCCACATAAGCAAGTGTCGACTTTTGAGAGAGATCGCCCAAAAAAAACTGCATCAATTGTGCAAAGATTATCAAAGCCGACTTATTGAACATTCAGATTTCTTGGAAAATATTTCAAAGACTCTTAATTTTTTTAAAGAAAAACTTTTCCCGTTTTTTCTTTTTTTGAATTTTTTTGTAATCTTTTGTTATTTGTTTTGTTTCAATTTTTTTGTTGAAAAAAAACATTGTTTTTCTTCAAGAGCTGGTGTACTTCCCTCAATTAGTAGCAAAGTAATGAAGTTTAACCAGCGGCGACTACCAAACTGACTACCCAAGACTACCAGTCCTGAAAAAAAGTTTGGGCGGGGCTTTCGTTACAGCTGTGCGCGGGTATGGCGGGGATTTCGTGTCAGGGCTATTGTAGCGCGGGGCTTTCCTGTCCTGGGCTTTCGTCGCGCGGGGATAGTGACGGTTTCCCCCCAGCGAGATTTTTTCCGTAAATAGGTAGATTGAATTTCCTGTTAATATTTTCCTAAAAAACTGCTGCTATAAACTATGAAGATTTCTATATATAAAATTGAAATATAAACAGTGCTTGTTTCATAGTGTATTACAACCTTCACGTCTATAGAACTGCTGCTACAAAAATTCTACGAGAAAATTTACAAAAATATTAACAGGAAGAGATGTATAAATATGATTTAAAAAATTTATATACATATTATTGGTGAATTTCTGCTGCACTCCCAGCCCCTAAATTAAAGTAGCCGTTTTTTACGATAATATTAACAGTAAATGCAATCGAACCATTTTCGGAAAAATTGCTGCTATAATCTCATTTATAAAGCTCATCCTGCTACTATTTTCGTAAACAAAATTGCTGCAAACTATGAAGATTTATAAATATAAAAATTGAATTGTAAACAGTGCTTGTTTCATAGTTTATTTATAATTTTTATAAATATAAAAATTAAATAAATTAATTAAACAAAATTAAATAGGAATAAACATTTTTAAATACATATTATTGGTGAACTTCTGCTGCACTCCCAGCCCCAAGATTATAGCAGCAGTTTTTTACAAAAATATTAACAGGAAATGCAATCCACCTATTTTAGGAAAAATTGCTGCTATAATCTCAATTATAAAGCTCTTCCTGTTAATATTTTCTTTAAAAATTGCTGCAAACTAAGAAGATTTATAAATATAAAATTGAAATATAAACAGTGCTTGTTTCAT